TAAATACTACTAGGATGTCATTGCTTCTAGGCCCTTTTATTAAACAAAACTAGAAAATGTGTGTGTGTGTGTGTGTGTGTGTGTGTGTGTATACACATACATATATATGAATGTATGTATATTTTAATCATAAGTTCATATTGATAAATCTAATTCCAATCCAACACCAGGGAGTTCTTCATTACCTTCTTCCATTTCTTATTTTTATTTCCTGTCTCCCTCAGTTAAAACTCAAGATTCCCAAATATCAATAAATGTACTCATTTGCCCAATCCTACAATATAAACAAAATAGTTTCAGAATTGCTATGTCTCGTCTCTACCACTATAAATAATAGCTTACTATACAGGGTTCAAGACTTTTTTGGAAGTCCTTTTTATCTTTAGACTAAAGGTGTATATATAGTCAAAGTCCTATATTAAGAACATACTTGAATTCATTTTTTTCTTCTGAGAATTAATATTAACATCGAAATACAGTTGGTTCATTTATTGCTGTTTGTATTCAATTTTGGAGGGTTTTTCCCCCCACCCAACCAGTTAATTTTATTTTTGAACACATAAAACATGAACAAGTTTCCAAAACTCAAAACTATACAAAAAGGTAAAATCAGAGCCATTCCCTCCATTATGCCTTTTTTCAGTTCCTACCCACCTTCTGTAGGTAACTATTGGGTTGGCCCAAAAGTTCGTTTAGTTTTTTTCCATATGATGGCTCTAATAATGCTTAGTTGTCTTTAACTTCATATAAAAGAATTTTTTTAGGTTGTATTGTGACAACTGTTATATCAGTGTGCATTTTTTAAAAACATCAAAATTGGTGAGTTTGTGTGCATCCATTTTAATATTGAAGATAGAATAAGTAACACTTTTGGCATATTATGTTTTATTATTTTAAGAAAGGTAAAAATGCAATTGAAATGCAAAAAAAGATTTGTGCAGTGTTGGAGAAAGTACTGTAACTGATCGAACATGTCAAAAATGGTTTGTGAAGTTTCTTGGTACTGCTCACATTGTGGCCAAACAATCCTTTGCTGTGGGGCTGTATTATGCATCAGAAGATGGTTAGCAGCACCCCTGGCCTCCACCCACTAGAAGCCAATAGTGAGAAATAGCTAATATGCTCAAAATATCCAAATTAATAAAGTTATTGATGAAAATAAAAACTTTGTCTTTTATTCTATGGGAAAAACATAATGGACTTTTTGTCCAGCCCAATAGTTTCTGGTTATCACTCCTATATTTATGTTTGTTCTATTAAAAAAAATGCTTTCTACATGTGGAGCAGAGAAATGGGGCATAATACTTGATCAAGAAAGAATCGTATGTAAGATGGAAGATAGTCCTGGCCAGGTGGCTCAGATGCTTGGAGTGTTGTTTCATTCACCAAAAGATTTTGGGTTCAATTCCCAGTCAGGGCATATTCCTAGGCTCTGGGTTCAGTCCCTGGTCAGGAGCATATAGGAGGCAACTGACTGATGTTCTCACACCAATGTATGTCCCCCCTCCCTTCCTCTCTCTCTAAAATCTATTTTAAAAATATCCTTGGGTGAGGATTAAAAAAAAATAGATGGGAGACATAACAGAATGTTTGTATAATAATGTACATGACTCCATAAAAACTGAAATTGAAGCTGTAGGAGGGATGGGATAATTATAGGCAGAAATATCTATCAAAAATATCTTCTGGTTTAATTTGAGGGATATCAAAGCATTACCAAATTCCAAAATAGATTGCCATCTTTTTTGTAATCATCCAAATTAGTTATATCTATGGCTCTAGAGAGCCCACATTGAAACGGGGTTATTATTTTGGAAGGAAAATTAAACTATCACTACCTATTAATGTCAATAAAAGTAATTCTGCCAGAGCAAGAAGGAGATTTTGAACTCTGAGCTAGACATTTAATCAGGAATAAATAAAGAGGCGAGAGGAGAATGGCTGATGTGAGGACTTGCGTCATAACACAGATGAACAGTAATGATCATGCTGGAAAAATAAACCCACATCTCCAACATGCCTTGGAAAAGTTACAAATATGCTAATAATTTATGCTAGTAATTGAGGACCATTCCTCATGCCCTTGCTCTAAGTCCATGTAGCACAGAGAACATGGACTCTAGAGGTGAAGAGGTCGGGCCTTGAATCCCAGCTGTGTTCCTTAACTACATGACCACTGGCACATCTCAAAGGTGGTTTCCTTACCTATAGAACTGCATAATGCCTCCTTTGCCAAGTTAATGTGAGATATAAATATAATAATGTATAGCATTGCCCCTGACCCAGAACAGATGTTCAGTATAAACAGATGTTCCTATAATAAATGCAGATTAAACTAGATAGCAAGCTAAAGAAACTAATCACACAGTGAACTTCAATATATGCCTGAAAGAAATCAGAGAAATCACACCATCCTAGGCAGTATTTCATAAGGGCAGAAAAATGTCCAACACTTACTTCCAATTCTCAATTTCCAAAATGTCCCAGAGTCTATTTATAAAGTGTAAAAATATGTGTTGACATACTAAAGAGACAAAGACTTAAAAGAAACGGTTCAGGGAGATGTCAATTAAATGGTACAAACTTCCAGTTATGAGATGAATAAGTTCTGGGAATCTTATGTACGGCATGGTGACTATGGTCACAATATTCTATTGCACAATAGAGAGTTACTAAGAGTATATCTTAAATGCCCTAACCCCGCCACCACACACACACACACAAAAGTAATTATGTGAGGTAATGAAAGTGGTAACCTTATTGTGCCAATCATTTTGCAATATATATGTGTATCAAATCATCACATTGTACATGTTAAACAATGTTATATGTCAATTTTACCTCCATAAAGCTTAAAAAATACTAAAAGAAGCAATTCCACAGGTTAACAAAGAGAAATGACTCAGAATAACCTCGTAAATAAGGCTCATGGTTCACAAAGAGATAAATCTAAATATATTAGAAGCCATGTTAACCAATTTTATAATTTTATAAATGCGTACACACAAGAGAGTTAACTATGTTCAGAAACCAATATTTTAAAAGTTTCTATTTCAGTTTCAAATTCATCTACAAACCAAAATGCAACAAAGAAAATCTTAAAATGATCTTTAGCCAAATACTGAAATATACAATAAACTTTCAGACCTGTGGACCAAAAAAGAATCCCTGTAATAGATCTAACTGAAGGTAACCTCACAGAATGATCTGATCAGAAATTCCTAACTGCTCAGGTCATGGTGGGTAGTTCACCTCAGGCCTGTAATAGCCCTGGTAAAAGGTTATCTTAGTCTTAAGCAAGAACTGGCTATTGTTTTTGTGCGTCTAAGTTAACACACCTTTGAAATGCCTTTTTCAGAACCCCTGAAGAGAGCACATAATCTTGTTAACTATCCTCCAATCTAGCGATTTTCAACTGGTGTGCCCCAAGATTTTTAAAACGTGCAATACCTGACTATTTAATCAAGGGCACTGACCTTTTTTCCCTTAGATTGTCAAACTTAAAAATGGCAATAGCCAACACAACAATAGTTGTCCAGTGTGAATGAAAATTATATCTATTTTTGTCAGATTGACAAAATACATATTTTTTGGTGGTCACACAATTTTAGTAATGATTTTATGTGTGCCATGAGATGAAAAAGTTGAAAACCTCTGCTATCATCCAATCAAAGTGATTTCCCTGCCTTGCCTTGTCCCACAGGTTGGTTCATACAATGTTCCTTAGTTCCCTCCTTAATTCCAAATGTATAAAAAAAAGTGCAAAACTGTAATTCTCCAGAAGCATTTTACATCTTGCTTCCCCACACGTAGTTAATTTGGCTCAAATAAACTCATTAAAATTCTCTAGAGCTTTGGGCATTCTCATGTCAACAGAGCCTAGGATCAGTAATAACCCAAAAGCCACACACTGAAGTCTTAAAATGTGCCATGACAGGGTCTCAAAGCATGCAATCTTGTGTATACAGACCTTTGTTTTCCTCCTGACTAGAAATGACTTCTCTTTCATCTTAAATAAGCAGTGTGTGCTCTATCTCTATTCTACAAGACGTACTTAAAGGTCACCATCTCAGTTTACAACACTAAAATGGGCTGATAACACAGCGATCTAATCAACAATTAAATGTCTTAAGAAAACTTCCCAGTAGGGTGCTAATCCACAAGCCGGCTCTTTTACAAGTGGCGGAGAGGCAGACAGATGCATCCTTTACTAAAAGAGAAAAGCAGTAGAGAAAGGGGAAGAGAGGTACAAAGTAAACGCACTGCTTCTATAAACAAATGAAACTCTGCTCTTAAGCTTTTAGAAAGGCAATCTTTCCTTATCGAATAGCAAAAAATATCAAAATACAAGGCAATCATTTGTGTTTTGCAGCAGAAAAAGAATGTGAGGATTAAAGGAAAACATTTTATCATGTACTGAATTTACAAGTGTTTGAAATCCATTAATTTCCCCCACTCACTCTCAAAATGTTGGACATCATATCATTTCCAAAATAAATTTAACACGAAACCACTGGGCTCATTTTTAGTACTCAGTGGAGAAGTTTTCTAAGCTTTCACAGCGCTCTCCGCCCAATAACCCTTCTAGGCAATCCCGGATAACCGCTATTTTCAGGGTAAACACGAGGTCTCGCTCTGCCACAGAATGGTTGGGGCGTGGAGAGAAACCTGGGGGTCCCGAAGCTAGGGCTATGAACGGTCCCCTCGCTTCTCAGCACTCGCAGTCCCAGCGGCCCAGGAAGTGCCCGAGGTGACGGCCCAGCTGCCGGTCTCCAGCGGGAGCACAGAGCGCCTAAGGCGCGCCCGCCCCGTCCCTCCCTGGAAGGGTCCACCGCTCAGAGCCCCGGGTCCCTGAGTCAGGAGGGACCCAGCCGACCCAGCTCCACTGCCCCGGCTGGGTTTCGCCGGGGCGGCCCGGCGGCACCTCACGCCCCCTGCGGGAAGCCCTGGATCCCCCTGTGGGGCGCACCGACGCCGCAGCTCGCGCGATCGCCGCCTACCTGGAGTAAGCTCCGGCCCCGGTCGACCTGGTGCTGCCTGAGTCCACCGGGTGCTCAGCAGCCACACGCGCGCAAAGCTGGCGTGCAGAGCACAGAGCACCGCTGAGACCAGTGCCGCCCAAATCCGCCGGCCACACCCAGGCCCGCACCGCTCAGCTGCCAACTCCGCCGCGCGCAGGGGCCGGGGCGGGACGTGGCTCCGAGCGGGAGGCGCGAGGCACGAGGCGCGCAGAACCAGCGGGGACGCGCTGCGGTCGCGAGCAAGCCCTGGAGCGTGCGCGCGGGGCCTGGGCGGGGGGCGAAAGGAGAGGACGCCGAGCACAGCTTCTGCTTCCTATTTTTTGTCTCGTTTCCTGCCAGAAGAAGAAAAACATTAATTCCCGGGCAGTTTCGTTTTCTTGTCGGCGTGGCGCCTGGACGCCGGCACATACTTCTGAGTAGGGCCCAAGTGGTGTGTCCAGTTTCCTTCCTGGTACCGCATAAGCCTCAGTTGGCCCGTGGGCAGGATAGGGGGTCTGGCTTAGAAGACCCCAAGGTCCCCTTTAGATTTAATATTATGAAATTCTAAATGTAAAAAACTAAACTGAAGTCCAGAGTCATACAAAATTGCATTACAATCCCAGGTCTACCATCGCTGTTTGTACGACTGGACTATCTCAGGACCTCGATTTCGTTGTTGGAAAATAGGGGAAATGATATCTGCCTTATACAGGTGCTAAAATGTTAAATGGGATAACACTTACACAGAGCCTTCCTCTAAATAAATGATCAATACTTGGAAATTATCGTCACTACTGTCACTGATGAAGCCAGGCCTTCCAGATAACCCTGTCACGTCGCTCCTCTCTGCATTAAACATCACAGACATCTCAACCGACTTTATTTCCCCCACATTTTTCTGGGTGTTTGATATTTAAAATGTCATAAAGTGAATGCATCTACCCAATTTACTTTTTCCGCAGTCAGTACCCGCTGGGGGAGCAGTTTTCCTTTCTCCACCCCCATCTTTCTTCGGAGTTAATTTCAGTTTGACAGACTGTTGCTATAGCATTCCTTCTCTGACGTCAAACAATTTAAAGAAATAGCCCTGGGTAAGGAAAACTGCAGAGGAGCTCTTTGTGGAGTTTCTGTGCTGGAGAAAGATTTGAACAATATCATAAGCGAACTTGAACCCCTCCCGCAGCCTTTCATTCCTTCTTCAGCAGCCTCCCATTATCACCTGGAATAAACCTCTTAGTATCCTCAAAGAGATGATGCCGTGATAAGCATATTCTGATGGCGACTGTGGAAAAAAAAAAAAAAAGTGACCGTTTTGCATAACACAAGTGGAGAGGGTCGTGGAGCTAGAATGATGAAATTATACGTGGCTTTCTCACAAATTTTCATTTTCCCTAAGATGGAGTGCTTTTTTCCATTAAGAAGACAAGGGGGAAATCCCAAATCAATCTACATATCAAAGTGTCAGAAAAGTTGAGTAGTATCTGACTGGTTTGCATCTGTAACTGCTTAAATGTTTTAATGTTTAAATCCTGAGCTTTGTCATTGCCCTTTTTAGGAAGAAGCAAAGGGAAATTGTTGTTCTGGAGTGCCTATTAAGCATCAGGCTCCCTGCTTTCTTATACCATAGTTTCATTATTCTTGTAATGACTCTTCAATGTGTGTTGTATCCCCGTGTTACAGATAATGAAACTGAGGCTCAGTGAGATTAATGTATCTAAAGTCACCCAGAGAGTGGCAGAGCTTTACGTGGAACCCAAACTGGATTGACTCCAAAGTTCACTTTAGATTCTTTCTGTCCTGTTCTTGGGCACTGATACTTAACAGGTATAGGGTTTTGAGAGGTGGTTTAGGTTAAGATTATCAGCTGAAAAATAAGGTGCTGGTATTTAGGAAAATCCAGTGGAAAGTACTGAGATATTCTATTCCAGAAAAGATTAGGGAAAATATGAATCAAGAGCTTCTAAGCACAAAAACCTGAAAAGATCTAACAAGAATTTTAGCAATCTTTGAAGATTTGGCAATAGAGTACACAAAATAATGACTTAACCTTCTTGAAAATTTTATGTGGACAGAAAAATTACTATGATAATAAACTCCAAGTACAAAAAAGGAAAGTTTAATCATTATCCAAACGTCCATTTCCTAGAATATTACATTTCTGTTTTGCCACATCTGCTGCATATTTTTCTGAAAAGAACACTTACTTGTTAAAAGGACAAGCCTGTATTGAAAATCTGAAAGTGGAGCTGATGAAAAGAATTTCATTACCAGGAATAATTTCCTAACAGCACAGTAATGCATCTAAGTGATGCAGCAATTAGTAGTTTTTCAAGTGATAATGTAATCAATGTAGAGAAAAAGGGAGAGAGAGAAGGGAGGACAAGCTATTAATATTTTTGAAGACTGCTGATTTGTGTAGATGATTGCAGTGATATATCCTACTTCTAATGATTAAACCCAAGGTTCTTGTGTTTGGGTGCCACTGGACGATACTTAGATTTCTAAGTCATTAATTAGACCCATGTTCTCAAATCCTACTCTATCAAGAAAAGATGATGGCATTCCTGCTAGAGAACCTTTGAAGACAAACTCCCTGCCTGTTTCATCTTTGTATTCCCCATACTCTTTAACAGAACACTTTGCACATACTAGGTACTCAGTGAATGAACAAATGAATGAATGAATGAAAGAATGCACTTGGTTATTTATTTTACGCAAATAACCTCCAACACCTAACTCCATCCATGCCCTACTCAGAATCCTAGAAAGAGGATAGTGATCATTATAGTTGCCGTTGCTGCTGCAGAGTATTTTGCTCTCCTATGACCTAGTTCAGAGAAGCTCTGTTCCTGGTCTCCTGTTAGATGAATCTGAATCTTATTCTCAGTGAGTTACCCTAAAATCCACAATGCCATAAGATTCTAACCTCTGCTTTTAAATCAAACCCTAGAAATGGTCTATTTTTTTCTGAACCTACTCTGCTCTGAGACAATGCCAAGTGCATTGTGAAGAACAAAACCACCAAAGTGTACAATTTTTCAGTACTGCCCTGTTGTATGTGTTGTATGTGTTCCAATTCCATTGTATTCAGGATGAAGCTAAATTATTTACCCACAACATTAGAACTAAAGTAAAGGTTCTCTTCCAACTAAAACAGAATAAGTTTAAAAATATTAAATGGAAATTGTTTGATAGGATCTACAGCAGTTCCACGAGGATTGAGAAGCGATCCCTAAGTAGATTCTGTAAGAGTAAGCTTGTGAGTTTTTTCCAGACAACTTGATCCGAGAAGTCATGTCTAAAGCCTTCCCTCTTGCTTGTGCACAATATACTTTGATATTAAATCATTTTACAGCTTATATTTTGAGCCCACCTTTGCTGTGTTCTTCTGACACTCCTGATAGCATCTTTCTTGCATGTTTCTTTTCAGGATCTCTCATTGCAGTTTGGGTCTATTGTCTACAAGCACATAAGTGCCCTTAGGAGAGCGCTGCATTTAACTAATGATGTATGTCATAGGCATGGGAGGGGAAAGTAGAAACACCCAGACATATATTGGCTCTTTTAGGTCCTATGATTCAGGTCTCTGGAATCTGTTATTGGGAAGGGACAGGAAAAGTGAAAAGAATACTAAATTGCAAATCAGAAGATCAGATTTAGAGCTTCAGCTCTGGTAATACATATCTGTATGATCTTGGGAAGTTCACAACCCACCTGAATTTTGTCTTACTCGATATCTAAAATGAGAGTTCTGGATTCTAGCAGGATGGGCAAATACCACTATGCCATCACATAGTACTGTCTTTAATCAACCATGTACTCTTTTCCTCTAAGACTCATCCCATCCCGAGAATTCTTTTGAACATTACAAACCAGGAAGGCACTCTAATTTTGGTGTTGATAAGTGAGTAAAAGTATTATGTTAGCTATCTATTGCTGTGTAACACACCACCCCAAAACACAGTAGATTAGAATAACAACATTCATTTCCTTTGCTCAAGGTAGCCAAGTTTGGCAGGGCTTGGCAGACGCACTCTTCTCTGCCCAAGGCAGTGTCAGCTAGTTTGACTCTATTTTCAAGATGGCTTGCTCAGATGGCTAGCGAGTGGACTGGCTTTTGGTTGAAAGATCAGCCAGGGCTGTGGACAGAGACCTCCATGCTTCCTCACAAAGGTGTTTCCATGGGTTACTTGGAAGTCCTCATACTGCAGTGTCTGGGCTCAGAGCAAGTGTTCTTCTAAGGGAACAAGAAGGAAGTGCATTGCATTTTTATGATTTAGCCTCAGGAAGCACATGTTTTAGCTTCCGCCATACATTCTTGGTCTAGACAGTCACAAATTCAAAGATAGGGACACGAATCTCTTAACGGAAGGGGGCAAGTTTCCAGCAGAGCATGAAGGCTGACACAGGTTGCAGCCATGTTGGAAGTACAATCTGCCACAAGCACGTTCACTAACCCTGAATTAATCAATGAATCTGTATAATAACTTTAGGTTCTGTTTTTCCATTCCTTCCTCCCATTTAACATTGACTTTGTTTCTTTTTGCTGATGAGCTCTGTGTTTCAAACACTGGAAAATGTCTTGCTTTCCTTCCTAATTTGCTTTTTTTGACTTTGCTTTCTTTTTTGAATTTTAATGTTTGTAATTATCATACTATAAATGTGACCTTATTCTTTTGGTGTATGGTTCTGATTTTATTTACTTTTATTTTTTTATGGCAGAACTTTATAGTTTTATCAACACAAACACAATGTGCACACAAGCTGCCTATTCCTTTTCTTCTCTGCGCAGCCTGGCATAGGGGCTGGTGACTCTGGCGGCCAGCTGGGCTGCTCTTCCCACCAGGGCTTTGCAGTCCTTCGGGGAGGTGTTGTGAACAGTCTCAGAACAGTGAGATTGGCTGCACATCAGCAGCACTTCAAGCTCCTGGACAATGTGGACCAGGAACTTCTGAAAGCCTCTGGGCAGCATGTTCTTCATTTTCTTGTTGCTCCTATAACCAGTATCAGGCATCAAGATCTGGTCTTCGAATCTTCTCTGCATCCAACCGTCGGTGGGTTTCCACCAGTTACACTTAATTTTGACATGAGTCTGAGTGGTGCCTGATGAACTTCTTGGTCTTCTTTTTTACTACCTCGTCAAAAGGGGTCTGAGGGTAGCCACAATGCCTTCGAGAAAGAGACAGAGACTGTAAGATAAAGAAGAGTCCTGGAAGGAGTGGCTTTCCTGCCCAGGGCTTGAACTTTGTTGCAGAGTATCTTCTAGTCACCAGCTCTTGAGCAAGCGGTGAATGGAATGGGTGCCTCTGCCAGGTTTGCTTTCCCTCCTGTTTCCGAAGACGGCAGAATACTAATGACTCTCCAGGCGCAATGCTGGGAGGTCAGTTCTATGATTTTAAACACATGTACAGATTTATTAACCACCAGTACAATCAGAATATGGAATGGTTCCATCACCCCTCAAAAATGCCCTCCTGCCAGCCTATCATTGTTGCTGTTACCTCACCTCCCCCCTCGAACCCCTAGCAATCACTGATCTGTCCTCCAGCTCCATAGTTTTGTCACTTTAAGAATATTGTATGAATGGAATCATACCATAGGAGAGCTTTTAAGGCCGGCTCCTTTCACTCAGCAGGCCTTGTTCCTTATTGCTGAGTAGTGTTCTATGGTACAGGTGTATCATACTTTGTTTATCAATTCACCCACCCAAGGACTTTTGGGATGTTTTCCATTTGGGGGCAATCATGAATAGAGTTTCTATAAACACTGAGGTCTAGATTTTTATGTTAACATATATTTTCCTTTCTCTAGGTAGACAACCGTGGGTGGGATTTTTCGATCATATGGTCAGTGCATGTTTAACCTTATAAGAAACTTGCCAAATCATTTTCCAGAGTGGCTGGTCCATTTTTTATTCTTATCAGCAGTGTGTGGGAGTTTCAGTTGCTTTGAGTCTTTGTCAGCACTTGCTATTATCAGGATATACACACGTTATCTAATTTTAGCTATTCAAATAGGTATGTAGTGGTATCTCGTAATGGTGCTTAATTTTGAATCTTCTTTAGCATCACACATGCATGTTTCTTTCCTCTTACCTTTCCCTGCTCAGATTCAGTCCATGCATTTCTGTCACATTGATTTTCCTAACCCACAACACTAATTAAATCAATTTTTTTGTCTTAAAAAAACTAAAATGTTTTCCATTTTTTTACTGAATTGAGTATACCTGTCATCCCTGATATGCAAGGCCTTATGTAATCTGACTCCTATCTATCTTTGCCTTCTGTGTCAGCTCTGTTCCCAAAACAGGCTCCTCAGCCTTCCTTCCATATCAAAAGCCAAGACTTTGAAGAGACTGCCCTTGCCCTTCTGTGCCTGGAATGCCTCCATGTAATCCCAGGCATTCTATCCCAGACACTCTTCCCTGGCTCCAGAGCACCTTCCTCCACAGATCAGCATATCCAAGACTGGGCTGGTATCCAGCTGGGAAATGAGTCTCCTTTGCTTATAGAAATGGAGAATCTTCAAGTGATTCTATCAGGTTGCCCTCCCTTGGAGAAGAGAAGGAAGTTAAGATAAGGGGCTAGCTTCTCTTCAGGAACACTGCATTCCCCTCATGGGGCATGTTCTTCCCCAAACCCCTTCCCCTTTAACCGGCATTTGAATGCTAGAAGGCAGAGAGTGAATATACAGTATTGATATTATCTTATGCCTGCCTGCCAGCTCTTGGAGGGGAGGGCTCAGCAAAGGAACAATGGCCTCTGCCAGTACCGCTGCCTTGGAAAAAGCTCTCTTTCCAGCCCTGATCCTGAAGCCAGGCACCTCAGTTCCTCCCCATATGTCCCTGGTGCCTTTCCAGCTGCTGCCCCAGCAGTGGGGCTCAGAGTGAGTGAGTCCGAGTAAGTCAGTGCACAGTCCTTTTAAAGGAACACTTGGGGCTCCAGAAGCCCTACATCTCACTCAGCCACAATCTCCAGTGGTACTTGCAGCCAGAAGTTAGGGAGATTTCTCGTCCCTGCACTGGAACCCTGGGCTGAGAGTTCTGATGTGGGGCTGGGACCCGTTGCTCTTCGGGCAGGGATATCCACAGCCCAGATATCTCTCCTGATTTTTTTTTACCATTCTGGTCTCCTCCCCTCCTCCCAGCCTTGATATTTCATTATATGACTTATGTTCAGCCTGATTTCAGGTGGTTCTGAATGATGGTTGTCCTGTAGTTTGGTTGTACTTCTGATGTCATTGTGGGAGGTTTCAAGCACTGTGTTTACCTATTCACTGTCTTGACCAGAAGCAAAAAGGGTATCTTCATAGTTATGTAGAATGAATAGAATCAGGCTAACAAAATGCTTGATTCAACAGTAATACTTCTAGTACCAAGTCTTCTGACAGAGGAGGTGGTGAAACTGGGGTGGAAGGAGGATACATGTGCAGGGGAGCCCAACCCGCAGCCCATGGGCCGCATGCAACCCAGCAGGCTGTGAATACAGCCCAACACAAGATCATAAATTTACTTAAAACACTGTGAGGTGGTTTTGTGTGTGTGTCTGATTATATATTGCAGTGTATTTAATGTGTGGCCCAAGACAACTCTTCTTCCAGTGTGGCCCAGAGACGCCAAAACTTGGACAACCCTGTGAAATCTGGGAACAGTTTTTACACTTTTCCTTTACTCTGAGGTAACTTGTAAGCATTGAACTACCTTGACAGTTTACAGTCCCTTTGGCTGTCATTTTAGTTCTTAATGTGGCGTGGGGTGGGGTGGAGGGGTGCAGGGAGACTGCTCTAATATTTTGCCATCCATGCGACAGCAGTGAATAAGGGCTTCTAGAGAAATTCACTCTCCTCAGGGACCAAGGAAGGAAGAAAACTATTGGGTGGAACCAACTTCTGTTCTCATAGTATGTGCTGAGTGCTGATGGCTGTGGGATCATCACCTGGTGTTAAGTGCTCTGCGGGAAGCCCAGCCCTTTGCATTTGAGCAAGAATACAAGTAGGGTAATGATGGTTTAAACAAAAATTGCTTTGTTCATCTTTTTTTCCTAAAGGTTTTATTTATTTATTTTTTAGAGAGAGGAGAAGGTAAGGAGAAAGAGAGGGAGAGAAACATCAATGTGTGGTTGCCTCTCATGTGCCTCCTGTTGGGGACCTGGCCCACACCCAGGCATGTGCCGTACACTGGGAATCTAACAAGTGACCTTTTGGTTCACAGACTGGCGCTCAATTCACTGAGCCACACCAGCCAAGGCATCTTTGCCCTTCTTTAAAGAACAAAGAAGAGAAAAAAAAATCAGCAATTAGGACTAAATATCTGAAAATATATATATCTAAGATGCTGTAGAAACAAGGCAGAGTTAAGACTTTCCCTAACAGAAACAATCTTCCTTGGAACAGATATCTTCATTTAATATTTTCCTTTCAATATCTCTTCAGTTTGTTTATATTTATTGACTATTTAGGAGGCAGTACTTCATGTAATTTACCTCAGTTTTTATCTACAGCAGACTTTAAAGTGTATCTTATTCCAATTGTTCAAAAGAGGAGATTTAGGCTTAGAGAGAGTAGAATCTTGCTCAAAGTCCTGAGGCGGTGCCAGCAGGTGGGCACGGTGGGTTCAGGTCCCCCGTCCTTCTTTTCCCCCAACCCCCATCTCTAACAGCTCTGGCAGCTATCCCAGAAACTATACCACCTAAGGAAAATGTTATGCAAATGTAGCTTAAACATGCTCCACCTGAAGCAACATCCTGGCTCCTGAGAATCTCCTATATCGAATCAAACATGTAATAAATGGTGGAGCTGACATATGAAGCCAGAAGTTTCTGACCAGACATTTGGTATGTTCCTGCCCCTGATCGTAAGAGGCTACTCTCCAACAGTAACATGACTGCTTTCACTTAGGTTTCATTTTGAATATTGTATTTCCTTGTAAATAATCAGGGCAAAAATTGCAGTTAACAAATGCCTCAGAAGTTTTTTGAATCTGTTCAACTGTATCGCATAATAAGAATCAAGCAGGTGGGAACATTTAATGACTCCACCATCACCCAACTTGCCCCAACACTTACCAAATCCCCTTCAGTCTGGGAACATCAACTTCTTTGCTGTTCCTTTTTGGCCCTCCCTTATCAGGATTAACTACTTATTGCTCTTTCTGTTTTTATTGGACTGAAGTGAACTTAAGCTCCTATCCCTTCTGTCAGCTGGATTTCCTGGCTTAAAAGACCTGAATCCGAATATTAATCCCCCTTTTTCTACAATGTGGTATTATTGCTTGTTGCAGATACTTGTGCCACTCCATCTTTTTGAGAATTTTGTGGATTTTCTCATTGCAAATGAGTCAGTGTTTTAGAATTTGCATTTTCTCAAGTAACAAGTAGATTGCCTCATTTTTTAAATTAAAATTTTTCAGAGAATTCTAGTCCAATTTATCAATTTTTTTAAAAAAGAATCTGACTTATTTACAATCAAACCCAGAATTTGATTAACCAGCATTACATTATGAGCATTGGTCAAAGACAAGTGTTGCCTGTAGAGATTGACCCAGGGCAGCTGCACAAATCTCTACAAGAAAGTTCCTCTTTTTTGGTGACAATGAGTCAGATTTGTATTAACTCAGAAATAAATTTAAGGAGAAATAAAAACAACTTTGTCATCTAATGAATAACTGTTTTGTCTTGGTTTAGTTGATAAAGTAGCAACTCTAAAAATAAAACTTACTGTAGATATGTTCTTTTCCCTTTTATTTTAAAAATCAAACTCTTAGCCCTAACCAGGTAGCTCAGTTAGTCAGAGTGTCATCCCGACACGTCAGGGTTGTAGGTACAATCCCCAGTCAGGACACACACAAGAATCATCCAGTGAAAGCATCAATAAGTGAAACAACAAATAGATGTTTCTCTCTTTCTCTCTCTCAAATTAATAATAAAAAAACTTTTGACTTTTCCTTTTTGAATACCTAATATATAATTTCTTAAAAACTCACTCAAGTATTAGTATTTGAAGGGATTGCTTGGATGTGCTAATTGTTTGAGTCCACATAAGAGCTGAAATATACATTTTAAGGAAGTTTAAATATCTCCAGTTTCATTCTTTTCCATGAAATCAGACCTAGTTTTCTTCTGCATTGACCACGATTGCCTAATAAATCTATCCTAGACCAACTAAAAACGTACAAGCTTCCCAGATTTTTTTCTTTCTCAACCTACAGTTACCCTGGCATTTTGTATATCAATGACATTTATTAAATTTTGCCTTTTATTGAAGTTGTGCTCCTACAGTTCAGCAATGCTTAAGCAAATTCTTTGATAAGAATCTACTGCAGCCTCAAGTTGTTTACTGAATAGGCTTCTGCCTCGCCTGGCACGCACAGACGTCTAGGATCTGGCC